ATGCGAGAGTATGAAACCACCCGGAATCAGGAACTACCTACTTTTGTTTTGTGCCTCAGTCGCCTACCTTCTTTACCTCATTTCTACATATTTTTTTGGACCTAAAAACTATGCAGTTAGGACTCTTACCTCTGCCAAATACGCTCTAACAACATCTCTGATCGTATCCTCATTCTGGAAAAGAAACAAAAAAGATAGAAATTAAAAAAACAGTTATTTTCAAAAATACAGTTCAGATAAAAATCGGAGTCCAACATTCCTTCATTCTTGGTAATTTGAAGGTGGGACTTGGTCCTCTTCTAGAATTAAGTATTATTTGTTATTATTGCTGAAAAATCAAATTTCAGAAACCAATCATAAAATTTCCATCACTTACTCTCACCATGGATTGCTGCCTTGCCACTCATGTAAAAAAATCCATACTGGGCCTGTTTCAAAGAAGCACATTTTACTTAACTTAACTATCACCCAAGTTACTCATATTGTTACGTAGAGATTCTGCCTATTAATAGGGTAATTTACTCTTTCTCTTTCTGATCCCACCCCTGCTTTCCCTTGCATTTAAAATTCTCATTTAGCCTTGGTGAATTTTCTTATATTTGTCTACATACGGCAGTATTCAGAAAGTTCCATTGAATTTAATAACCATTTTGTCTTTACTTACCATTGGTCAATTTGCAATTACTAATCATGAAATATATGACACTTACTCTCACCATAGACTGCTGCAATGCCACACATGTAAAAAATCGAACTGACGCACGTTGTTTTACAGGGCACCGTTGAATTAAATACAGGGTTGCCACAGAATTTAGAAAATATAAATTATCATAATTTTTCATGAAATTAAAATAATTACTGTTCAAAGAGAACTCAGAGAGAGATAAATGAGAACCATAAAAAATAAATAAGTTATGATACATCTCATCTCAAATTACCTGAACAGTATCAGGGGCTTTTATATTTGGTATATTTGGCACTGGAAGCCTTGGCCATGCCGAGTGTCCAGGGGCCACCCCGGGCACCATGTACCCTGGCATCCCCCAGCCTTGGCTGGGCCCAGGGTAGTGCATGGTGGCTGTTGGTGGGGGTGGCGGGACCTCCTCAGTCCTAATTCGAAAGCTGGCTTCTCTAATGGCAACTATCACTTCTTCTTCGCACTTCCCATTTACTGAAACAAAATTAATGATAATGATAATAATAAAATAATAATAAGATGCATAAAAAACATGAGGACCTACATGGTAAAAGTAGGGATATTACTACGAATAACCTCAGTGTTTCAAATGGTAGTTCCTTTAGTATATTCAAAGAAACAGCCCCAAGCTATTTCTTACTTATTAAATCATAAATTAAAAACATTCCTTATCAAGAATTTGACTACATTTTGCAATTAGGAATCAAATGTCTGCCTCTTCGATGAAAACACTTTTTTTCCATAGGAAAACTAATGATGCATGTGTCATTTCGAAACAGAGCCACACATTTTAATTCCTACTTGCAAAATGAAATCCAATTCAAAGTCAGCTGATGGGCGTAGCAATGTCAATAGTACCATATATAGATAGACCAAGAATTCATAAAGGAAAAAACCCATAAGCGCACCAGTCATGAGGGGCCATTGAATTTTTGGTGAAAGAATAAAAAATTACTAGACGCCTGATTAGAACTTAACAAACAGATGTATCATTGTAATGGTACCCAACTAAGGAAGAACTTTGCCTTCAGACATTGCCAAATTTCATCCATTCAAATACACTAATTTTCAGGGAAATTTGTAAATATTTTCCTTATAATTTTCCAAACAATTATATGCGTAATCTGATAGAAATTACCTAAAAATTTCAAAAGAAGATATTCGTAACACTCCTCCAAAAAAAAAAAAAAAACATTTCATCAGAGGGATTTCATCATCTCTTGAATGTTCATTTGGCAATTTCCCTTACCCTGGCAGCCTCCAGCAAAATAAATATACAGAGTTTTCTTTCATGTCATTGGGAAGGAATAGTAAATCCAGCACCTCTTTTGACGGCAATAATGTATTTGCCTTAACCTTCGTTTTCTAGTAAGCTGCATTGAATTAAAAACCCCATTTTTGAAATAAAGCTCTTATCATTAAAAAAATTGAATCAAGGGCAACTGCCCTCATCAAACATTTTCTTCCCGGAAAAACCATGAATGATTTAATGTTACTCACATAGGAGGCTCGAGATAGTGGCATAAGTCACTTTTTTTATTTGGTGCTCTTTAATGAGCCGAGCTTGTATGGTTGCCACCTTCGCAGCATGCAACCCTCCTGGTGAGTTCTGGAAAAAGAAACAGAAAAACAAATACAGTACTTCATCATTAATCACTTACAATGTATATATTATTATTCCCTACGTTTCCTCAAATATTATGTTTTACTATAATTATGTTTTACTAGAAACTTTTTCCATCAAATCCAACAGATATATAATTTCATTGCCATTCAGACCTTCCAGAAGAAAAGATTGACAAACATCTTATCAAAAAAGAACACCATATAACGGAAATTCATTTACTAACTAAACAGCCAAATGTTGAATAATCCACCTTGGGTTCAACGTGCCGATTGTCTAATAACTCTTACAACATGAGAATCCTGTCTAGGACAGTACGAAAAAAAGTACTTGAACTACACTTTCTTTGGGGATTTGTAAAAAGTTGTGGCTGAATTTACAGGATGGAGGAGCAACAAACAATCATCATTGTACCCCTGAGAAGCATAGAAATCGAAGCATATTAAATCATGGCTCCTGTGTAAACCGCAAAACTCCCCAATTTAGAGGCGTCCGGAGACACCAAAATCGTCAGAAACAGTGACTGCGTTCACTCTAAATGCCTGTGAAATCCAACTCAACTTTCAGAATGACGGATTTGTGTGCGTCTGTGGTTAGCTGCTACCTTTTTCCTTCAGGCAGCTTCCATTGTTGCCGAGTTGAGACTTTTCTCAGAGGTGGCTACCACCACCCATGATAAGCCATGTCTCAGAAATGATGATTAAGTTAAAAGGCACGAGACCAGGTCAACGGTAAAATATTAAAATCACTCTCACTACTCCGATGAGGCACGTCCCTGATGATGACTAGACTAGGTCAAAATGCGTTGGAAATCAATGAAATTCATCAGACCAGTGGGTATGATTTTAATTAAGTCTCCAAAAGTTAAAGACTTTTTTGATCAATTTCATAAGTGAGGCTGGGACTCTCCTGTTATTTGGATGGACAGGGACACTTTGTGGAAGAGTTTCAAACCCTATCTCTTCAGTACATTCATATAATTCCAAGATACGAGCATGCACTGCCAAACTCAGCCAGCAGCCTGATGGTTGAATTGTTTGTTTTCGGAACGACATAGATGTCATAGGTTAAAAGGCGGAGCTGATTGGTTGGCTATGTCTTATCGCTACTGAGTAGTGCCTTTGTTAGGTGGAATGGACTACATACTGTCGGATACTTTGGAGATGGCGTTAGCTTGTCGTGAGTTCAACCTGACATAGGCACTCCAAAGCAGCAATAAGACATAGCCGACCAATCACGCTTTGCTTGTCATCTACATCGTCCCAACAAACAACAAATTTCAACTATCAAGCTGCAGTCCAAGCCATGTGTTCAGGCAGCCGAAGGCTGAAAGGTTGACTGCGGTTCATTTTATCATGTATTTCAGCAAGGGTTCTTCAAATTGAATCCAATTGTTGAATGTATTGTTAAATGTGAGAAAGAATGAGACATGATACTTACTTTAGGAATTAAATCCTCGAAATTAACTTTCTTCATTTTGGTGATGTTCCTTCTTTCTAGAAAATTGCGCGGCAAGCAACGAACAAAACAAAACAAAACAAGTGAACTCCACGTTTCTTCTTCTTCGATTTTCATGTTGCCATCTTTGTCCGCCGGAGTCTGAGAGCGCATGAGTTGCGGACCGTCCCTGTCGATTCATTATTATGTGCGTACTCCATATAACTCAAGACCAACCACACGGTGAACTAGAAATACTGGGGTGTAGCGTCATGGCCAATCTAATCCCTGATTGGCTCCAGCTGCAGTTGCAGTTGTTTAGGCTCCTAAGTGGAGTGGGTGTGATGATGTCTCATCTCACGTATTTCCAAATCTAGTCCGTGAGGGAATGGACCATGGCTTCGGAACAAATGGTACGACAGGGAAACGAACTGAATGAGGCGGAATGTTGGAATGTAGGAATAAGAAAATCTAAGCCTAACCTGTATCCCCGAGAATCAAAAAATTTATTATTTATAATTCCATTTCGATGCAAGTTTTGATTAATTAAAATTCTCTCGAAACGCTCACTTTTTCTTGTCCATATCTCTCCATTATTTCTTTTCTAAATTTACTAATATCACCTAACATAAATTAACTTGAGACTTCGATATTTCAGTCGTCTTGTGAAATCTCTTAGTTCTCCGTGTGTTATCGTGCCATTGTTCTACTATTATTTCTTCCAACTCTTTATTGTTTATTTCTAATGAAGTGAGGAAAAATATCCTTTATTTAACATATTTCATTGAATGCGAAAATTCGTATTTGCGGCACGATTGGACTATCATTTTTGAACCATTTTGTCTGCACCAGTGTAAGTTGGGTTTCACGCTTCTTGCACAAATTATCTACAGTAGCATAATCTGAGTTACACGCTCTTTATGCCGAAATCTGTACTAGTTTAAGTTGAGTTTTACGCTCTTTACGCAAGCAATTTGCAGTAGCATAACCTGAGTTGTACACTCTTTATGCCAAAATCTGCACTTGTGTAAGTTGAGTTTTACGTTATTTGCACAAATTAGCTACAGTAGCATAAGTTGAGTTACACGCTCTTTATGCCGAAATCTGTACTAGTTTAAGTTGAGTTTTACGCTCTTTACGCAAGCAATTTGCAGTAGCATAACCTGAGTTGTACACTCTTTATGCCAAAATCTGCACTAGTTTAAGTTGAGTTTTACGCTCTTTGCACAAATTATCTACAGTAGCATAAGCTGTGTTATACACTCTTTATGCCAAAATCTGTACTAATTTAAGTCGAGTTTTACACTCTTTACACAGATTATCAGCAGTTACACTCTTTACGGAAAGCAGATACAGGATTCCAATTTGAAGTCCTTTTTGACTAGTTGCATTACTTACTTTCACTGGGCCCACAGTGTACATGTGAAAAGTAAAGCCCGGGCCAATTTTATTTTACTGATTGACTGGATTAAAGCAGTACACTAACTGTAGAGTTATAATTTTGCAGACTTAGTTTCTGTTTTGGATTTTTAAGTACTATGGTTTCAAAAATTTAAAAGCGGAAGTTGAGGAAGAGAGGAACAAACAAAGCTAAAAAATTGAAAGCTCACGAAGTTTCAACCATAACTTCTCTTGATAACAACACAATAGAAATACCATTAGAGTGTGGCAATCATGCCTCGCAACAGTTTAGCACCCTCAAAATTTTACAGAAACGACATTATGATCAGAAGCGTTACCAATGTAAAAACCACATGAATTCTACCTCCGAGCTTCTTTTGAGTAACGAAGGAAATTATCCTCTTGCTCCTGAAATGTCAGTTTGTAGCAACCTCTCAGGCTGCGACAAAAATTCCACTGTGGAACAAACCATCCCACTCCCAAGCAAGGATCAACCTGTTTTTCATGTCAGTAGTGAATCATTATGTCAAGAAGCAGATCTTAGCATTTTTGATGTGATGGAAAACCATTACAGAGCGCCGCTTAATGGTGAGCCCCCGTGCATGGTCCCAGTTCAACAAAATTTAAAGCTGATCAAACCTACCTATTCTGAAGAACAATCCACTACCGAAAAAAATGAGGCAGCATGTTTACTGAAGGAACCTCATGTTGTTGGTGGCTATCTGATGGTTGAAGATGAAAGTACTCCTAGTGAGGGTCACGTGCCTTTGCCGCTCAGTGGTGAATCATTGCTAGTCTGTAAGTCAGCTTTAGGCAGTGTTATTGAAAATGGAAACCGAAATGTAGCAACTCCTAATGCTGAGCGCTTACTTGAGTTTTCCACTCAACAAGAACCAAAGCCAATTGAACTGAGAGGCTGCGACAAAAATTCCAGTACGGAGCAAACCATCGCACCCCCAGATCAACCAGTTCTTTATGTCAGTAGTGATGAATCTTCAGCAGAGGAGGCAGGTGTCAGTATTGTTATTGATGACATTGAAAGTCAGTACAGAGCGACACCAAACGATGAGCCCTCGTCCATGTTTTCAGTTCAACAAAATTTAAAGCTGATCAAACCTACCGATTCTGAAGAACGTTTCACTACTGAAAAAAATGAAGCAACATGTTTACTGGAGGAACCTCATATTGAGAGTGACCTTAAACCTGTGCGGCCAACAGATGAAGTTTTGGTCATCGGAAGATCGGTGCCTGATAAATTTAGAAGGCATGCCATTTGCAACCTTTCAATCGCTAATCATAGTTCAGTGACGGTAAAAGAGCAAATAAATGCAACCAATTCAGCTTTGGTAGGCGAAAACGCCAATTTACCAAGGCGACGAACTCTTTTTCCTGCTGAGTCTACGGTTACACCGTATGATATCGAGGAGGATCAGTTCGGTGATACCGTGGTGATCTCTCTCAAAAGGAAACTACCTTCCAAAACAGCTGGACAATCAGCGATCCGTTTGAGTCTCGATGAAGAGGACTTCCTTGCATCTCCTCTTCGAAAGAAAATCATCACTACGATGCAAAAAAGAGACAGGAGTTCCGATGGAGCGGAAACATCTGATACCGAAGAAATTCCTTCTACTGTTTTCTTACTCAAAAGGAAATTCCGTCAACCTATAAAAAAAAATAAAACTAAAAAGAGTCGAAGCAAGAAAGGCTCTTGTGCGTCTCCTCTAAAAAAGAAGGCAAGACGTTCTAAACTTCGAAACGATAGAGGGTCAGTCACTCATGTAGGCAAGGCAAAGAAAAGAATAAATTCATTCGGTCATCCATCCGTTCAATTATCTGCCCAGACTAACTTAAGCTCTGCAGATTGCAACGTACAGGTGAGACCGATATCAATCGAAAGCTCTTTTACTCGTGCCAGCTTGAAAAAATCTGATCGATCATTGTCCAATGAAAACGCTTCCTTTCTAAAATGTACTTCCTCTAGGGTTCAGCTTAGAAACTTACGTCCCAGAGCAAACCTTCGACATAAATGGCGTATGAAGTCTAAGCGTACATCCTCGAGGGCAAGAATCAGTCTAGGAAGCCTGAACGATCCTGGTAAAAACGCTCCGCATCCAATCCCTGAGCCCTATCCTCATCCGGAGGGTCCCTGTACTGCTCCACCTTGTAGCACTCTGAATTCAGCCACTGAAATTCCTCTCTCTGAGCGTGGTCAAGGACTGTCTACCGCAGAGGAAGAACCCTTCACTCCTGTCAGTCGATTCATGAGAAGAATGAGGGTGCTGAAAGCAGGAGACAACCGGGGTATTCGAGTTCGAGCTCTTCCTCCGGCACAACGTGCTATTCCCCGCGGAGGAGATACTACACTTTTCAGCAAAGTCGATCAGCCTTTTAATCCTACATTCAAAAAGCTCAAAAACTTCTTGAGGATTAAAAAATCGCAGAAAAATCTATTTCGTCTCCGAAAAAGTGAAGCGAAACTGAGGAATAGCCTTGCTCGCCGTTTCAAACGCTGCTCTCTCGCCTCTGCCAGTACGCAGGCCAGATGTCTTATAAAATGGGCCATGGTAGCCAGGAGAAGACTGATCGTTATGTTTCAGAAGGCTCATGAAAGTTTGAAAACGAAATGTGAAAAATGGGTCGACGTCGCTGAAAATTATAGTGCGCCTTCCGAGTTGGGTCAGAGAGGTGAAGCTTTGTTAGGTGTTAGAAAACACTCATCGGTGACGGATCCATTTTTCGTCGATACTGCATACAAGGCTATCAAATTGAGAATCAAAAGGACTCAAATGAAAAGCCCTCTACGAAAGCGTGTAGGCATAAGGAGGAATCGCGAGGTAAAAAATCTCGTGCCCTTCCCTTCTTTAAATGTCGATGAAGAGGGAAAAGTTAGAAATATTTTCCCGGAAACACAACCGCTCAAAAAGTCACTCCGATGGGACTGCAGCGCGCTTTGCAATACGAGTGATAGGACCGCTATCCGAAAAGTTGGCAAAGTTTTCAGAAGACTGAAACAAACCACTCTAGGACAGATGGTTCATTTCCTCGTAGGCATGAACGAGTGCAGGAACACATGCCACCTCAGTTGCAAGAAAGGACATTCCGCAGTTTGTAGAATGACCGATGGCAACGGCGCCCCGCTAGTTGTACTTCAGAATCTAATGTCTCATTACCCTCATGTACGTACTGCTGTTCGATCGCTGCAAACTATGAAGAAAATTTTGTCCGAGATCGACGAATTAGATACTGCTCTATACACAGCTGACCGGGAAAAGTTAGAGGCCATAGCGGAAAAAGCGAGGCTCCAAGGAGGCGAGTTCACGATCGGCGGTGACACTTACACCGATGAAGATGGCATTTACATGCAGTTTAAAAAATGTTTTGCAGCTCTCGACAAAGCGATGAATGATCTCCCTAGTAATTACTGTTTTTCGTGTGAAAAAATACTCAAGCGAGATCAGCTAATCGAATTGAGTAGAATGAAGTCCACACCCGACAACCATTGGTGGAATGAGTTGTATAAAAAAGGCGAAACCGGTGTTTGCGTAGATTATATCTGCAAATTTTGCTTGAAGAAAATACGCAAAGGCGAGTTGCCATCAATTGCGACCTTGAACAAGATGGATGTACCTAAAGTGCCTCCGAGCATTCAAGGACTGAATAAATTTGAAAGAATTTTTATCCAGCGGGCGAAAGCGTTTCAAGTTGTCGCAAAAGCAGGCACCGTGTCAGGGAAGCACCTTCCGGCTTCTCACTTAAATTCCAAAGTGGTCGGTCGAACCTTCCATTTGCCCTTACCTCTGGAAGAAACTTTGAAAAGAGTATTGAGAGATGAACAGGCTGTAATGCCGAATCAAGAGCTCTATTTTCTCATACGTGGTCTACCAACGAATCAGAAAAAAGTTTGGGAGCATTTAGTCAACTTCTCCGATATTCTCAAAGCCTTGCAATGGTTGAAGATTCACAATGACTTGTACAAGCAAATAGTGCTTCCAGAGAAGGCGGAGGATTTCCTGCAGCAACTGGAGGAAATCATTTACGATGATCCTGATAATCCTTCCGCCCTTCCTCATTCAAACGCAAGTGACGACGATCCGGATAATCCATC